GCGGTTCAATTTGTTACTGCACTCAACCATTGTGTTCTTAGTCGTAGTGATTTTATTACTTTTTCTCTGGTAAGCATACAGGTGAAAATTTTCGGTTGCTCAATACTACATAGAACACTGTTGCTGTGTTCCGTAGGCCTGTCATTTTAGTGTGGGTGCAATCTTCCGAATCCAGTTTCAACTATTTGATCACCGATTCAAATCTCACTTTCTCAACCAAGATTTGTGCAGCCATATACCATTATTTCTCATAGATGTGGTGTATCTCTTGGTGCATAAACTTCTACAATAATGGCAGTTTACTAGTCAAAATTTTCAGTTATATATCTTTAGCTTTGCCAACTAATGAAAGTCGGTCGATACACACAACCGCCGTTACAGCCAGTCTCAATAACCGCAGTCAGTGGATTTGATGGAACTGCTTCCACAGACGGCGAGCGGTAACCAGTACCTTCTAATGATGACAGAGCATACAACACGTTGAATAGACGCCGTACCCATTTCAGACCAGTGGGTAAAAATGGTAACCGAAGTATCGACGATGATCTCGGAAGTTACGCTTGCACCAACCAGTTGTTCAGCATTCTGCTCATTTGATGATTTAAACTAATTCGTTACATTTCTCTTCCAAAGTATTGTTAACTAACATACTGATTACTTGTTTAGTTTTTAAGTGTATATTTTACCGACGTTGTGATACAAAAATTCATTCTCATTTTGTCAGTTGTAAATTGGGTCATTTTCTACGGCTAATATTTGATTAGGTCTGATCTTGTAACTTTTCCATCCACATAACACTACTAAATACACATGTGTGAGGGTAGAAATGTAAACGGTAGACAGTTGGATTATTCTACTTCCCAGTATCACAAGACAGTCTTATACCATTTGCACATCGATATTTCCAACCCTAAAACTTTGTTGTGAATTTGAAATAGTTTAACGAATTACTACTAATCCCAAATAGACTAGAATTTTGACAAGGCGCAATCGAGAAGTCGAATTTGAACTGTTCAGTAATCTAAGTTTCACATCAAAAACACAAACAGATAGCCGACGTGTGACGGATGTACTTACTTACTTACTTACGCCTGTTACTCCTCGTGAAGGAGCATAGGCCGCTCACCAGCATTCTCCATCCAACCCTGTCCTGGGCAATCCTTTCAAGCTCTTTCCAGTTCTTATTCATCCTTTTCATATCTGCTTCTATTTTCCGACGTAATGTGTTCTTTGGCCTTCCTCTTTTCCGCTTCCCTTCAGGATTCCAAGTTAGCGCTTGTCTCGTAATGCAGTTTGATGATTTCCTCAATGTATGTCCTATCCATTTCCATCGTCTTTTCCTAATTTCCTCTTCAGCTGGAAGCTGGTTGGTTCTCTCCCACAAAAGGCTGTTGCTGATGGTATCCGGCCAATGGATGTTGAGTATCATGCGTAGACAGCTATTAATAAATACCTGTACCTTCTTGATGGTGGTTGTTGTAGTTCTCCAAGTTTCAGCTCCGTACAGTAGAACTGCCTTGACGTTCGTATTGAAGATTCTGACTTTGATATTGGTTGAAAGTTGTTTTGAGTTCCATATGTTCTTCAGTTGAAGGAATGCCGCTCTAGCTTTGACAATCCTCGCCTTGACGTCTGCATCTGAACCTCCTTGTTTATCGACGATGCTTCCCAGGTATGTGAAGGATTCCACGTCTTCCAGAGTTTCGCCATCAAGAGTGATTGGATTGCTGTTCTCCGTGTTGTGTTTGAGGACCTTGGTTTTCCCTTTGTGTATGTTGAGGCCTACTGATGCAGAGACTGCTGCTATGCTGGCTGTCTTTATCTGCATTTGTTCGTGTGTATGTGATAGGAGGGCTAGGTCATCTGCGAAGTCCAAGTCGTCTAATTGGTTCTGAGCTGTCCATCGTATGCCGTAGTTTCTCTCAGATGTCGAGGTCTTCATAATCCAGTCGACCACCAGAAGAAACAGGAAGGGAGAGAGTAGACAGCCTTGTCTTACTCCGGTCCTTAATTGGAATGCGTCTGTCAGCTGTCCTCCATGCACTACTTTGCACTGTAGTCCGTCGTATGAGTTCCGGATAATGTTGACAATCTTCTCAGGAACTCCGTAGTGTCGAAGTTTCCATAACGTCCTCCTATCTACACTGTCAAATGCCTTCTCATAATCAATGAAGTTGATGTAGAGTGACGAGTTCCACTCAATTGATTGTTTGACGATGATCCGTAGTGTCGCAATCTGGTCTGTGCACGACCGGTCCTTACGGAATCCAGCTTGTTGATCTCGAAGTTGAGCGTCAACTGCGTCTTTCATCCTGTTCAGTAACACTCTGTTGAAGACTTTACCCGGTATTGACAGTAGTGTAATGCCTCTGTAGTTTTCACACTTGCTCAGATCTCCTTTCTTTGGAATCTTGATGAGGTGTCCTTCTTTCCAATCCATCGGCACTTGTTCCTCCTCCCAAATCTTCTTGAATAGAAGATGAAGCATGCTTGTAGTTACTTCGATGTCTGACTTCAACGCTTCAGCTGGTATATTGTCAGGTCCTGCTGCTTTCCCGCTCTTGATTTGTCTGACGGCCATTCTGATTTCTTCTGTCGTTGGTGGATTGACATTTATAGGAAGATCTGTGTGTGCTGCTTCGATGTCCGGTGGATTCATTGGAGCCGGTCTGTTCAGGAGTTCCTCGAAGTACTCTGCCCATCTGTTGCGCTGTTGTTGAATCTCAGTGATTGGTCTTCCTTCTTTGTCTTTGACTGGTCTCTCTGGTTTACTGTATTTCCCTGCTAGCTTCTTCGTCGTATCGTAAAGCTGTCTCATATTTCCTTCTCTTGCAGCTTTTTCCGCCGTCGTTGCTAGTTCTTCCACGTATTTTTGCTTATCAGCTCTAATGCTCTTCTTCACTTTCTTGTTTGCTTCTATGTACTCTGCTTGTGCTTGGACTTTCTCTGCTCTTGTTCGACTGTTTTTAATTGCTGTCTTCTTGTTCTTTCTTTCTTTCTTTGATCCTGTCCAGTGTTTCTGTAGAGATCCATTCCTTGTGATGATGTTTCTTGGGGCCCAGAACCTCTTGACACGTTGAAGTTAATGTTTCTTTGATACCTTTCCAGCTATCCTCCATAGTAGTTTCTTCTTCCTTCAGTAGATCCTGTAAGGCTTGGAACCTGTTGTTGAGAGCTACCTTGAATTCATTGAGTTTGTCAGTATCTCGAAGGAAGGCTGTATTGAACCTTTGTGGTGCTGTTTGTCCAGTTGTCCAGTTCTTCTTTAGCTTCAGTTTCAATTTGGCCACAACTAGGTGATGATCTGAAGCTATGTCCGCTCCTCTCCTGGTTTTCACATCTTCCATTGTCCTTCGGAACTTTTTATTGATGCAAATGTGATCTATCTGGTTCTCTGTGGTGTGGTCCGGTGAGATCCACGTAGCTTTGTGAATACGTTTGTGTGGAAATGTTGTACCGCCTATGACCAATTTATTGAATGCACACAGATTTGCAAATCTTTCCCCGTTTTCGTTTCTCTCTCCCAGTCCATGCAGTCCCATGATGTCTTCATATCCGGTGTTGTCCATTCCGACTTTGGCGTTTAGATCTCCCATCAGAATGGTGAGGTCCTTTCTTGGGCACTTCTCTATGATTGATTGCAGCCTCTCATAGAATTGATCCTTAACGTCGTCGTTGCTATCATTGGTAGGTGCATAACATTGGATAATGTTCATTGTGATACCCTCCTTCTTTGTTTTGAATGATGCTTTGATGATTCTGGATCCGTGAGATTCCCATCCTACAAGTGCATTTCGTGCTACTTTGGACAGCATTAGAGCAACTCCCTGAGTGTGTGGAGCATTTTCCTCTTCACGACCGGAGTATAGCAGCATCTCTCCCGTATTTAGCCTTTGATGTCCAGCTTGGGTCCAATGGGTTTCGCTGATTCCCAGTACTGCCAAGTTGTATCTCCTCATTTCCGTTGCTATTCGACTGGTCTTCCCGGTCTCCCACATTGTCCGGACGTTCCATGTACCTATAAAAATTGTTGCTCTGGTTGTTAGAAGGGGCATCGGCCTCGTGGCTTCCGAAGGAACTCGGCTTTCACCATGAAGCGTCATATTACCTCTAACTCCCAGGGCAGAGTTTAAATGGTTTGAGTTATTTTTTCTGGTTAGCGTTTTTTTAGCGAGTTAGGTTTCTACGGGATGGGGACGCTAACCCCATGCCCAACCCTCCTCCTTTACCCGGGCTTGGGACCGGCAGTAACTCTGGAAGAGCTACAGGCGGAGTTGTGACGGATGTGACGACAAATTAATAGTTGCTGAACAATTAAACACTTCATGTTGTTTTAGTCTGTTATAGTGATACGACACAATTTTATTCTGACTGAGATAAACCCCACGAAAACTCGACTGCTAAGACTATGAATGTGAGTCTGAGCCGAAGAAAGTATGGGTTAGGTTATCTAGCACGCAGTAATTAGGTGTTTAAACTGAGACCTGAACGACGGACAAGGATGAACACACTTACACATTTTATAATTCACTTAAGTAGTGAAAATTCTTCGCAAAGCCAAGGATTGAGAATGAGAGGCTAAATCACAGGGCTGGTGAGAAATTGCACATATGGTAATAGAAAATTTGGGTTTAGTTTCTGCAAATCTAGTCTCATATTATAATCTTGGCCTTGAGTATTTAAACCTGGACTCCCGAAAATGCTGATTCTACGGTAGTGCTAGATAATACTACTCTACTTTTTTTCTTCAAGGAAGTAACATGTCAAAATACGCCCACACTTAAGGAAGTGAATTCATCAAAGAAAGTCTTGTTTTAATGAGATTCTTATTCACAAGTGTATGTTCGAAGCACAGAGTCAAGATTCTGTTCACTATCTAAATGTGATTATGCGTGTGGGATGAAAATATTTGAGTATAATCAAATAAGGTTTGTTTTAGTTCAAAAAGTCCTCGCAGGGGAAAATAAACGTGTGAACAGCTCATGTATTTGTGCACTTACTAAGCGGGTTATGTCGATTTGATTCACTTCTACATTTACTATAGAGAGAACTGAGTGCTTTGCTACCATTATGAGTTGCACTATGAACGGAAGAGTCGGAATCTTCGTCCCCATCGCACTGTTCATCTGAGCAACAGCCTGAAGACATAACCAATACAAACACCAGGAAAACTACAGGCAGTTGCAACGTTTAATCTTTGGTAGGTTTGTACCTAGCCTGAAGGTAACCTGTGTGATGTTGGAGTGCTAGGAGCGGTAAATGGGGTAACCTGGCGGAAAAAGGAACAAGATAGGAAGTGAGTCAACGACTCAACACATATAATCAACTTACATTTAATAACGAAAGCAAGTGATAATATCACAGATAACATGAGTGCGACAGGCAACGCTTCAGGGGTATCGTCCACTGATGGGGGTTGCGAGCACTTGAAGGTCAAACTGTCTCAAGATGATTGGTGCGTCACATCGACAACTCGTGAAGTTTTTTAGAGGCGGTCAAATCAAGACATTTTTAGATTTGAATTGAGTTCAGCCACACCATGTCTGATAACGTCCATCCTTCAAGTAACGAAGATGATGTCATAGTAATGATGCATGATATAGGACGAATCTTCAATGATATTATGTTATCTCGGAGATTTACAAGTTGGGACAATTTTGAGACCTGTTTGAAAGAAGTACATAAGGTAATATGACTTCTGTGGTTAATGATTATTTTCGTAGTATACGCATACTAGGTACGTTATGTCAGTATGTAAAAAGAACAATGATGACCCAAATCTAAAATGCGTTCACAGTGGTACCCAGGTTGTTGAAATCACATTGTAATTAATTGAGCTTAGACATTAAAAATATCAATAACATTTTACAACGTGTTCAAGCAAACACTGAAGTTAAAGTACTAAGTGAACATGGGAACATATCTATGATTTGCTTCAGTCGTAGGGAGCAAGTAGCTGTTTACCACGCGTTCCCAGAGGTAATATGTATCGACTCGACTTATCAGACCAACAAAGTTGGGTAAGTAACGAATCGCAATTTATTTATCTTACAGTTTTCCACTGTTCCAGCTAGTGGTGACTGATAGTCTTGGGCAAGGGCACACTGTTATGTATGCTTTTTGCAAGCAAGAACCACGAGATGTAAAACTATTGGAATGCTTCAAAGATATAATGTGCTGTACTTATGATACACACACTTTTGTTATGTATTCGGCAGCAACCAAAATTTCAGCAGTGCAGTCTACGCACAGTCATGCCGACATAGTACTTTGTTCATTCCATGTCTTAAGAGCATTTTTCAGGAAGGTAAGTGTTAGCTGTTCAAATTATTTTCTGTAGTTCCGAAATCCTGATGTACGCAAATGCTTGGAACACCTTGTAAAGACTAGACGGTCTGATACACGAGCTTCGTTTTTCGTAACGCATTATATTAATCTTACTCAAAAGTACGAACATCTGAGGATCCATTTCCCACGGGCGTATGATTACATCAAAGATTACTGGATTGCCCGGAAGTCAATGTGGGCCCGTTGTTACCGGCGACATGTATTAAGCCTGGGTAACCACACGAACAACCGTGTCGAAAGTGCTCATAAACATCTAAAAGAATGTCTTAGAAGAGGTGATTCTCTGCTATTGACGCTCTGGAAAATTTAGAGCAAAACAGATACTGACCTACGTTTGCGTCCATATGACGCTGTGAAGGATCTTCAACGTTTTCCAATTGTTGAGGTAAGAAATATAGTTAAATGTCTCATTAGTTCCAGGTTCCTATGTCATTTCGAACTCTTTTAAATGAGTTCACATCTTTTGCAGCTAAAATTGTAGCTGTAAATTATAAACGTGTTAGGTCAATGAGACACAAATGTATAGCAGGGGAATACATCCGGTGCTACGACAAGGGTATGATGTATGTTGTTGGTACTTCACGTGCACCATGTGCTTGTGAGCGTTTCAATGACTACATGCTGCCCTGTGGTCATATTCTGTATGCACATTCTAAAGATCTAATAATTGGAGGTAAGTGTGTGTTCCTTTGTCTCTATAAGCATTGTAGACTTATTTCGACATAGCAGCCGGTGGACAAGGAAATATATAATGGACTTGGTTCTTCGTGCGATGGACAACATGTCAATCTCTACCGGGAGTGATGATCTGCTAGAGAAGTTCACTAACAACTACCACTCAATCCATGCTCTTAGTGAACCCTTGGCAAGTAAACTCATCCGTTCATGCTTCGAAGCATCTGAAGACATATGCGCACAAGTGATGAGTTCAATCGGTGCTAATGATGAAGCTACATCGTCAGAATCCATTGTTAACACTGACCATAGCTATGCATCTTGATGACAAGAAGTTCTAATATTGTAATCTTTTTAGTTTTACATAAATTTATTTATATGGGCATTAACTCATTCTTATAGCGTTACGGTAGGGAGAGTGTACTGTGAAGTCTTATGTCGCTGTGAAAAAGGGATGTTATTTCGCGTTCTTGTGTAATAATTACCAGTTTAGCGCACACGCGATTAGTTATACGCACTGTTTACCAAACACTGCAACTTTGAACATGATTTACTATACTACTAGGTCGAATTTTGACTTGTCACGATAGGTAAGCACTGCCGTAATTAAAACACTGATGTGTTATTAATGAGAACGTTTATTAAAGTTGAAATCCAACGAAAATGATCCATTATTGAATAACTTCCAGTTCTTAAGAATTGTTCCAATTAGGTCGGTGAACACTTGCGAAGCCAGCTGGAAATAAGATAGACAGGAAATAATTATTACAATATAAATGTTTACCCAAAACTAATATAAAAAGAGAAACCGGTATTCAATTACAAATCGAGAGTGCATTTGGTACATCACGCTTATTTGCTTCATATATATATAAAGACTGCTATGTGAACTTACTTTGAATCGTCTTGTATAATCTGCAATTATTGGTGCCTATTTTATTTTAGTCTCACGCAAGGTATAATTAATTGTCATTTACGGCATCAGCATATAAGCTAGCCAGGCTTTCGGTGATTTTCGAAGATCATTATATACAATCTCACACAATCTGGTCACCTGAGATCAAGATATCTTGATTACCCAATCGTACTTATTTCTGCTATTGGCTATCTTTGCAAGAATACCGGCAGCCTGAACATTGGAACTCTGTTCAAGAGGTAATATACTACCTATAAGCTAATTAGCTTTATAAAGCAATCTTAGCTTGCTCTCTGGTAAAATCTCCACATAATTGTACCTCTCTCGCATGATTATGATTTATTTCCTGCAATATAATGATTTGGTAGCTTATATATCTAACTGTAGAAGGTGATATTAACATATTGGGCGAGACTCTAATATAGGGACGACCTTTGAACGAATTTAAGTGACCTTGAGAATATTAGCCAATCAGAAGACAGCTAGTATAACGTAGAAATATATTAGAAGAAACTAATGGATTACAGTGAGTATACTTATTTCACGTGATTTAAAAACTTATCAAGGTTTGCTTAAGTTTCAGATGTTTTGAAATCATATTGCATACGGTATAAAAAGTCATAAATTCCAAGTACCTGTCGAGTATATTTACGGAAATGCTACTTACACAATCCTACTTTATACTACGTCCCTTGTTGTATTTTCGCTTTCTCACTGCCGTTTTATCTGTCTGCACGATACATCCTACTCCTCCGAATGATTGGTGTACAAGTGTTATTTTAGTTGCACGGCAGTACTCATACCACTAGTGGTCCAGTACTGGACTGCTGAATTTTCACAAACAACTGCAAACGCCGCAGCCAGTGTTACTGGTGTATTTATTACCCAATTTGCAACTATTATCACAATCTGATTCAGTTTCAGTAGCAATCGAGCAAAGAAAGTCCCCGTTCTAGCAGACTTTCTCCTCCAACATGAAGGACAACGAAATATAATCTCACTACGGTTATGTGCACACTTTACTCCAGACATTTGATAACCGCAGTCTCACGTACAGGAATTTTTTAGTAATCCTATCCCTTGTAGCCTATCAATAATCACCCCTTCTCTAAAATCCTCTGTAAACCTATTATATGTGAGCATCAGGTGTTAAACTTGGCTCCGTGACCTTGAAACGGCTCAAGCGCTTCTGATTGGCTCGTCCCTAAAGTAGAGTCTCGCCAACGATAAATGTTATCATGGTATCGTTAGTTGTAGCGCAGTTTTGGTAGCCTTGACGACAATACAATTTTTATGACAATATATGCTTAGATAATGTCATTTCATATAAAAATAAACGATTTCTCTGCTCTGTTTATATAGTTAAGTGGAAATAATCGCCAGTCTGCGATGCAAATATGAAAAAACTATTATAGCAGCACCTGATTAATGAATTTTCAAGGACTTCGCGATACCATGTAACGCAAAATGAAAAAACCCCTTTTCACTTAATTATGAAGATGGAAAATGATTTTTCAAATTTAATTATAATAAATTTCAAATTTTGGCTGTGCGCAAAGCAGAACTGAAGAAGTAGCGCAAAAAAGTGTCGCAGTCTAAATAGTTCAAATGGTTGTGGACGGAATAGAAGAAGCTTTCGCTTAACAGGCTTCCGTGTCTAGTAGCAGGGGATCACCAATACCTCCAGGCAAGAACCTAGGTATATTAACGATAAAAGAGAAAAAACAATGAATTGGTAAATCATAGAAAGATACTATCCTTAGTCCTTAAGAATAGATCAAGTCGCCTCTTAAAGGACTCCTGGGAAGTTGCTCGGACTAGCTCAGCTGGCAGCGAATTCCAGCATTTGACAGCTCTTAAGGAGTAGAAGTTGTGTCTGCAGTCCGTTCTACTATGTTGTATCTCTAATTTCTGGATGTTACCCCTTAGGTTAGTGTTGGGACTAAGTTTAAGTAGGTGTTTAAGAGGATATCCAGGTGTGTTAAGGATACTGTAAGCCATTAGAAGGTCACCTCTAAGACGCCTATACTCTAATAGCCTCTTTTTTGTAAGCTCTTAAATTTATGCGATGTCCCACATTCACGCGAACTGTCATAATTTGCATAGGTCTGTATAATTTGAATAATGATTGTTTAAGATCAATAAATCAGTATCTTTCTGTATTGCGATACACAGTATCATATAATTAAACGGCCCTTCCTAAGGCGCAACAGTCACTGAATGTTTAATAAAAAATCGATTTTTTCTCACATGGACTTCAGCCGATTACGTCGCCGCTAGTCATATCATTCTTGTGGCACGAGAAATATGATTTATATAAGTTTGCTGCAAATTACAAGCAGGCAGGCGTTACATAACCAAACTTATGGTGGCAAATAATTTCCCAGAATACATCGCTTTGTAGATGTTTAATGTCGATGCAGAACAGTTTACTTTTACTGGGTGCACAGCTGTCTAGAGGCTGTTGGGCGAGGATACTCATTTGATCACATTTCCACTGGTCATGAAACTGTGGTGATCTACTTTTGTCAACAGAATGCGATTGGTTCAATGAAAACAATTATTATTATAACCAATTTACAAATAATTGTTTTACGGTGCTCGTTTGTTTAACCGTGCTAATGACAGCCATTACATTCACTCTAACGTTGACTTTGAACTTGTACGAATTCGGTTACGCATTGTAACCACGCTTGTACTCCTTTGGCACGATCTCGGTATTCTTTTGATACCACGAGATCGCCAGCACATACATCTCGACTTCAACCATCATCTGCTTTCTGATATTGACCTACGGGGATCTTATTAGTTAACTGGCACGCAGACTTCTTGTAGTTGTGTTCATAGTCAATCGCGACTCGGCTCCACGCTACAAAACGCGTCTCATCCGTTAAATGTTCAGCATTGAAGTAATGTTTCGCAATACATGTTTCTATAATCATCATTATTATCAATTTTTTGTTAGCTTGCTACGGTCAATAAATCCCCAAAATAAATAGCTCTGTAAGTTTTCGACATTGGATTCTGAACACATTAGTTTTCATGGACTCATCTAGCTGAAGGCGCTCGATCATGTATCCGCACCAGATCACTAGTGGGAACGCCATGCTCAACATCTACTGCAATCGCTAGCCAGATTAGACCAGACGATCATCGATATATTGATAACTTAGTGGGTACGATTCATATTAGAAGGTGTTACTGGTTAAAGCGTTGTCAAACTCCGTATACTTGTGGCATCTTCAGGTTTTTCTCGGGAACACTTTGTTTCAATGAACTAGGAGTATAGTGTCGCCAAATTCTGTGGGCCTTGAATTTTCTACAGACGTTAAGTAGGTCGAGGGAAATCAGAAGTTAAAATTCCAGAGGAAAATTTTTAGATTTTATTACTTTCCCAACGAATAAATGGAGAAAATAAGGGAGAAAGATGATGATAGTTGAAAGGAAGTGAAGGAATTGAAGTTATTAGTGACAAACATATAATTATAATAGACCGAAATTGTTATGACACAACGGGGCAAATAGATTTCATGAAATTAGTTCCCTTCATGAATTTAAATAAGGCCAGAACAAATATTGATGCAGAATATAATGAATGCATATTTAAGAGAATAATTTTTCTGGTTAGCGTTTTTTAGCGAGTTAGTTTTCTACAGGATGGAGTCGCTAACCCCATGCCCAACCCTCCTCCTTTATCCGGGCTTGGGACCGGCAGTAGCCCTCCGAAAGGGACTCCAGGCGGAGTAGATAGCTTCACCATTGTTCAGCATTAGTATTACGAGAGGGATTAAAATGACTTGATTTACAATAAATTGTCATTTTAAGTACCACCCTTGCCCATCTTTTAGATATATTTGTTTCACCCAAGCTTTAGACACGGTTTGGTCATAACTTGGACACTTCCAACTTTGCCTTCCGTTTTTATTCACGCATTTTGGCTATTAAAGCCCAAATATTGTAGGTTTGTTATGACATTTACTCCTAGATTTGTTATACCGAAAAATATTTCGGTAGACTTGTAAAGGATCAAACACTTCATTATTTGAATCCCGCCACTCCAATTTTCTCATCCTCGTTTCAGTCAAAACTGAATCTTTCATAGCAGACGCTATTAGCTGTAGATACCCAGTCAAGAATTTTCTGCATATCCCAACAGTGTTCAGGTCAAAGGCATCATTACTTGAAATGCCATTAAACAGTCTTGTAGGTTATAAGATTACGATTGCCATTGATTAACTTGTTAATGCTACCAGGCTAACAGTCATACCGTAATATATTTAATTGGTCATGACCTGTCCGTACAGTTTGTAAGATCATACATTGAAGTTACACCGTCGTTTCTCCTAACTTGCTCTACTGTGAGTATGTGTAGATACAGTTTCAAGGACAACGTGGCTAGATAATGACGGTTATTCTGTTGTCTTCAAATCATTATTTCACTAAGATCAGTGTGAGGCTGATC